AATGGTGGTCAATGGTGACATATTGGCTAATACTGGTCTGTGAGGACATATTGGCTAATACTGGTCTGTGAGGACATATTGGCTAATACTGGTCTGCAGTGACATTGGCAAATAATGTTCTGTGGTGACATATTGGCTAATACTAGTCGGTAGTGACATTGGCTAACACTGTTCTGTAGTGACATATTGGCTAATACTGTCAGTAGTGACATATTAGTTAATACTGGTCTGTGAGGACATATTGGCTGATACTGGTCTGTGGTGACATATTGTCTAATACTGGTCAGTGAGGGCATATTGGCTAATGGTGGTTGTTGTGACATTGGCTAATACTGGTCTGTGAGGACATATTGGCTAATACTGGTCAGTGGTGACATATTGGCTAATACTGTTCTGTAGTGACATTGGCGAATAATGTTCTGTGGTGACATATTGGCTAATACTGTTCTGTGGTGACATATTGGCTAACATTGTCAGTGGTGACATATTAGCTAATACTGGTCTGTAGTGACATATTGGCTAATACTGGTCAGTGAGGACATATTGGCTAATGGTGGTCTGTGAGGACATATTGGCTAATACTGGTCAGTGGTGACATATTGGCTAATACTGTTCTGTAGTGACATATTGGCTAATACTGTTCTGTTGTGACATATTGGCTAATACTGTTCTGTTGTGACATATTGGCTAATACTGGTCTGTGAGGACATATTGGCTAATACTGGTCTGTGAGGACATATTGGCTAATACTGGTCTGTAGTGACATTGGCGAATAATGTTCTGTGGTGACATATTGGCTAATACCGTTCTGTGGTGACATATTGGCTAACATTGTCAGTGGTGACATATTAGCTAATACTGGTCTGTAGTGACATATTGGCTAATACTTGTCTGTGGTGACATATTGGCTAATACTGTTCTGTAGTGACATTGGCGAATAATGTTCTGTGGTGACATATTGGCTAATACTGTTCTGTGGTGACATATTGGCTAACATTGTCAGTGGTGACATATTAGCTAATACTGGTCTGTAGTGACATATTGGCTAATACTTGTCTGAGGACATATTGGCTAATACTGGTCAGTGGTGACATATTGGCTAATACTGTTCTGTTGTGACATATTGGCTAATACTGTTCTGTGAGGACATATTGGCTAATACTGGTCAGTGGTGACATATTGGCTAATACTGTTCTGTAGTGACATTGGCGAATAATGTTCTGTGGTGACATATTGGCTAATACTGTTCTGTTGTGACATATTGGCTAATACTGGTCTGTGAGGACATATTGGCTAATACTGGTCTGTGAGGACATATTGGCTAATACTGGTCTGTAGTGACATTGGCGAATAATGTTCTGTGGTGACATATTGGCTAATACTGTTCTGTGGTGACATATTGGCTAACATTGTCAGTGGTGACATATTAGCTAATACTGGTCTGTAGTGACATATTGGCTAATACTGGTCAGTGAGGACATATTGGCTAATACTGGTCAGTGAGGACATATTGGCTAATACTGGTCAGTGAGGACATATTGGTTAATGGTGGTCTGTGGTGACATATTGGCTAACATTGTCAGTGGTGACATATTAGCTAATACTGGTCTGTAGTGACATATTGGCTAATACTGGTCAGTGAGGACATATTGGCTAATACTGGTCAGTGAGGACATATTGGCTAATGGTGGTCTGTGGTGACATATTGGCTAACATTGTCAGTGGTGACATATTAGCTAATACTGGTCTGTAGTGACATATTGGCTAATACTTGTCTGTGAGGATATATTGGCTAATACTGGTTTGTGAGGATATATTGGCTAATACTGGTTTGTGAGGATATATTGGCTAATACTTGTCTGTGAGGATATATTGGCTAATACTTGTCTGTGAGGATATATTGGCTAATACTTGTCTGTGAGGATATATTGGCTAATACTGTCTGTGGTGACATATTGGCTAATACTGGTCTGATATTTGCTTGAATAACAGCACACATTAACCAGAATCTATATTTTTTCATCGTAGGCAACAAAATGTCATGCCAACACTATTGATAAAATAAATATCTAATTTATCTTTTGAAAAAGGTGACGAAGTGAGTGTTTTTTATGATCCAATGATATCTAAGTTAGTTGTCTGGTCTAATAATAGAACAACGGCGTTAAACAAACTGACCAAGTCATTACAAAACTACCAGGTGAGTATGAAACATTCAAGAACAATGTTAAATACTGTTGTATCAAAGTCTTCCACCCAAGTATT